GCCTTTTGTATCCGTGCAGAAATCTCATCGGCAACTAACCCACCGGGTTGATCCTACTTCCCAGGTAAGTGAAGTGGTCAACACACTCAACCACTTCACTCTCTATTGTTAACCGCGGTACCGCTGAAGACCAGTCCTGGAGCAAAAATTTGCATTTGGGTGGTGAAAATCGCATCCCAAACATTCTCAAATTCCCACTCAAAGTGTTCAGAAGACTCTGCATCTTGTCAGCGTCTTCACCTAACAGGACTATGTCATCTGCATATTCTAGATCTAAGGAAAATTCACCTGTGGTCCGGTCAACGTCTTTGTAATTAGGTGACGAGAGGGAAACCTCCATAAGAATATCTATGATAAAATTAAATAAGAATGGGGATAGTGGGCATCCTTGACGGACACCACTTGATGAGTATAGCTCCCTGGACAACTCACCATAGGCTCTAACATGCCCACAAGTGTTCGAGTAGAGAGCTTTCAATAAGGTGATGTACTTACTAGGCACGCCTTTCAGTGACAGACACTGCCATAAGACTTCTCGATCAACGGAGTCAAATGCCGCCTTCAGGTCGAGAAATACAGCTATTGTCGGGCGTCTGTAAGCATGCCTATGTTCCAGGACCTGGCGCAGTGTGAATATTTGGTCGATACATCCACGGCCAGGTCTAAAGCCTGCCTGGTTTTCTCGGGCTTGCTGTTCCCGAGCTCCACTCAGGCGTCGGAGAATTATAGAACTTAGGATCTTAGACACTATGTTTGTCAGGCTGATTCCTCTGTGGTTATCACAAGAGGACTTCTCGCCTTTCTTGAAGACTGGGATGATCAGTGACTTAGACCAGTCGGAGGGGATCGTATTTGATTCCCATATACTGGCTAACACTTCCGTTAGCCTGACTAAGAGAACTCTACCACCATTCTTGTATACCTCAGCAGGTAGTCCGTCTGGTCCTGCTGCCCTTCCCCGTTTCAGGCTACCTACCGCTTTCTCAACTTCTTCTAGTGTTGGGGGACCTGTCTCTATGTCCCATTCAGGGTCCGACTGGATAGCGGGCAGCGCAATGGTGGCTGGAGGCCAGTTAAACTGTTCCTCAAAGTGTTCTGCCCATCGTCCCAGTCGCCTTCCCTGCGAGTGAATCGCCGATCCGTCCTTCTCCGCTATAACCTCACTAACTGTTGTTGACCATTTCCCCCCAGTCTCCTTAATAAGTCTAAATAACTGTCTACTGTTACCGATCGCCGCTGCCTTTTCCATCTCTTTAGCCTTTGCTGCCCACCACTGTTCACGATCGTTGCGCAGACTTTTCGTCAGTTTATTTTTAAGTTGCGCTCGCTCTTCATTGTACTCAGAGCCTGCAGGGATGCATTCACGTGCATCCATTAGTTTGGAAGAAGCTGCTGATATCCACTGGCTCTTTTTAGCCATTATCTTGGAGTCGGCTACAGTCTCCAGTGCTGCTTTTACAGTAGACTGAAGATGGCACCAAGCTTCTTCTGGATGAGTGACAGTCTTTTGTTCCGATAACTGCCTAGCCAACTTCTCACTGAACACGGCTTTGGTGTTTTCGTTGTCCAGCAGAACTCGTAGTGGTTTTGTTGCCAAATTTTTTCTACGTCCATTGAGACGCAGGCATATACGTGCTCGGACCAACGCATGATCGCTGTCCAAACACGTACTCCAGAAGGAGCGGCAGTCTTCCACCGATCCTCTCCAGCGATGACTAATAGCAATGTGGTCTATCTGTGTCCATCGCTGAGTCGAGCTCGGTGGACGCCAGGTCAGACAGTGCCTTTCTTTATGTCTGAAATTTGTGCTGGCTAAAAATAGGCGGTTATCTGAGCATAGTTGTAATAGGCGATCACCGTTATCTGTACGTTCAGCTGGGATTCCGAAAGTGCCACCTAAGTGCCTTTCTGCCTCACTCAGTCTACCCACCTGTGCGTTGAGGTCACCTGCAACAACCACTACGTCCGAACGTTTGGCTTTCGAGAGGAGGTTAGACAGTTTATGGTAGAACTCGTCCTTCACTTCATCCGAACTACAGTCAGTGGGTGCGTAAGCAGAGATTACAAAGAGACAACGGCGAGTCTCACTATTCCTTTTAGTTCTCACTGTGCCGTTCAGCCTCATAGCGCAGAGGCGACTATCAACTGGGATCCAGTCTAGTAGTGAGTTTTCTGCCCTGGTGCTTAATGCTATACCTACACCTGCAAGACCACGAGAGCTAGCTATCGAATCTCCAGAAACTCGAAGGGTGAATTTTGCAGATTCACCAGATTGGTCAGGAGAGGTCAGGTGAATAACCACACTTGGGTCCTGTATGCGTGTCTCACAAACACAGCACACATCCATGCCTCGAGTTGCTAGAGTCTTTGCCAACGAAGCCTGTTGGCCAATTTGACGGAGGGTGCGGACATTGAAGGCTCCAATATGTAATTTGGAGCGTGGTTTAAGGAGACCAGGGACACTGTTCTGTGGACTCAGATCGTTGTCGAAGGCTGCAGAGGTAGGAGAAATTGAAGATGATGCAGCATCATTAATTAAGAGACGTGAAGGAAGATTAGAAGGTAATGATGGAGGAGGAGGATAGCAGTCAGAAGAAACTTGGGTGCTGACAGAGTTGTGAGGGCGGTTGACACTTCCCGGCTGCCCACACCGTGGAAGGCTATTTCTTCTTAAGGTACCTGAAAGAGATTTGTGTGACCGCAGAGCCCATCGGACATCTGCTTGAGGCCTGTCACACCCAGCCTTTTGAGTATGATTATTTTGAATTTTTGTATTTTTGGGGCCGGATGATCGAAAGGAAACGACAAGTGAACCAACACCGCCGGCCCGGCAGACCGTGGGGCGTGGTGGAGTGTGTTATTTTTGGGGCCGACCTTTTCTAACCCCCCCTTCCACTGAGAAGGCAGCATCAGCTTGGCACTGCTGGTCATCCAAGGGAAACACCTTACTGCTGTCACACCCCATCCAGCTAGCAGCAGTACGACTTCGCCCTCAGACCCCCATCATAGTATAGCAATTTACACTATGACGGTAACTGCTTTTCGTCTAACCACTACCCAACAGACCTTTCTGGTATGGTAGGACCTCGAGGGAACAAGCGTTCCACCAGCATAGCTCGTTGGGTCATTGTGATATGCAAGCCCGACCACCACGTCAAGGTAGCAGCTATCGGTAGCAGCCCTATTGTTGGTCTTCGTTTCAGATTACCTACTCCTTACTCGAATTCTGCAAGTGCTGGGAGCTCCTATCTCGACGTTCTATTCAGGTCCCGAATAGATAGCGGACAACAAGAGAGTAACTGGAAACCAGCTGAACTGTTTTTCAGTGTTTCACCCATCGTTCAAGTCACCTCCTCTCCTCTCCAGATGAATCACAGGCTCATCCGCACTGCTATAATCTCACTGGACATTTACCTTTTCACCCCATTTTTTAACAAGTCTAAAAAGGTGTCAGCTGTTACCTGTCACCGCTGCCTTTTCCATCTTTCAAGCTTCCCTTGCCCAACACTGTTCGTGGTCACTGCGTAGACGTTTTGTTCGTCTAAATTTTAGTTGCTTCCGCTCCTTCTGAAAGGATGCGTTCGCGTGCATCCATCAGTTCAGTAACAGTTGAGATCCACTGTATCTTCTTAACCACTCTGAGAGAGTAGGCTACAGTCTTCATCGCTGCTTTTACAGCGGAATGGGGATAGAGTCAGACTTCTTCTCGTTGAATGATGTGATTCTGTTCTGTTAACTGACTAGCCAGTTTCTTGCTGAAAACGGCCTTAGTGCTCTCATTGTCGAGCTGCGATCTACAACGCCATAGTTTTCCTAAGCCCATTTAGATGCAAACAAGTGCTCGAACCACCATGTGGTTGCTGTCCAAACAGTCGCTCCAGAACGAGAGGTAACCTTCAATCGATCCTCTCCAGAGGTGACAGTTGACACTGTGGTTTATCTGTTTCCACTGATGAGCTGAGGTTGGCGGGTCCCATGTCAGATAATGTCTCTCTTTATACCTGAAGTTCATGTTGGCCAGAAATAGGTGGTTATCAGAGCACAGTTGTAGTAGGCGGTCGCTGTTATTTCTTCGATTGCTTAAAATCCCAAAAGTAACCAGCTAAGTGCGTTTCTGTCTAACTTAGCCAACCCACTTGTGCATTGAAATCACCTGGAATAACAAAGACGTCTGTACGTTCGGTTTTCAGTACGAGGCTTAACAGTTTTCGGTAAACCTGACCTTTCACTGATTGCACCATTTAGTGGAACAGTGCAGCGCCAACTATGAACCGGTAACCTGTCGAGAAACGTCCTTTCTCTCATAGAATCCAGCGTTATTCTTAAAAGTGTTGGGCTACAAAAACTAACAGAAGAGTCTACAGAATCTCGAAGGGTAAGTTTCACAGATTTATCAAATATGCCAGGTGAGGTTAAACGAATAACCCCACTCGGGTTTAGAATGCGTGTCTCTCACACGCAACATACATCCATGGCCCGAGATGCCATAGTTTCGATTGATGAAGATTGTTGTCGTATATGACGAAGAGTGTGAATATTGAGCGCGCTGAGACGTACCTTAGAGTGTGGGGGTGTTGTTCCATGAATCTGAAATATTACCAAGGGCTAAAGAGCCACAAGAAATTGAAAGTGATGAGAAATTTGAGGGAAGATTAGAGGACAAATGTGTGAAAGTTGATGATGACCTGGGAGAACTTCAGTGTTGAAAGATTTTTGTAAATATTTTTAACCCTGTCCACACCATGAAAGTAAGATAATTAGAAATAGAACAACTCAGAACAGTTATCTGTCATCACAAAAAATACTACGAACTTCGAAAAATGGTACAATGCAATTCTGGCTTGCAATTAAAATGTCGCATCAAAAATCTCACGAAATCAACATAACGCAACCTCATACTGTCACAACACGATAAAACTACTCTTATATATAGCAATACGTAAAATGATAAAATATATTTACAAAGATGAATGAATTTACAAAAACATGACAACCATTTGTCACTGCCATGGTGGTATCAATGAGGGTACGACATCCCACCAAAAATTCACAGAAAAACTAGCCGATAACGAACGAACATGATGCCAACAACGTGGTGGAATGTACAACATTTCACCAGGAGAAAGAATGCCATAAAAACCATGTGCATTTACAAATTCAGGATATTTATTGAAATCAGGTTTCTCAACATCCACTCTCGATGTATTACTAAGCATATTCTCCGTATGTGCATATAAATAGGCTGACTGTGAAGCTGGATATAAAATGACATATTTAAAGCCTTTAACTTGTGTCAACAGATTAGCTCGATCACTGTCATGATGCAATGGGGAAACTGTACCTTTTGGACCAAACCAAATATTAGTATCAACATGAATTTCAGCATTATCAGCGTTAACATTATCGTCGTTTTCACAGAACACACTACCACCAGCAGTGTTCAATGTACAATAATCTGGTATATGTATATCATTTTCTAATTCAGGAATTTGTAAAATATTTCATACTGTGCTAAATAGCCTTTGATCATGTCTTTTACTTCTACATTATTCAATGCGAAGTATTTATCAATGAAATTATTGATTGTCATTAATTTCTGTCCCCAATTCTCTTCAGTATATTTTGAGCCTATCTCAACAGGCACTAGTCGATGACCAAAATTTTCCTTCCAGTAGTTTAATGTCCAATTGTGTTCAGTATTCAACTGATGATAAGCCGGCCAGAAATTTATCGCGTTTGTTATGATAAATGGTTGTCCAGTATTCATTAGATTACTGAACTCTTCTAAGCTTGGACAATTGACACGATCTAGTTCGCAAAGATGTGTGACAGACGGAGTCAGTGGTTCCACATCATCATCTAATTGAAAGGAGATATACGACTGTTTCCCTTTACTTTGAATGGGAGTTTTAGATCCAAATTTGATGCATTTATGTAATTCAGAGGCTAATTTTGAAGCAAAACTATCAAAAACAGGATAACCCATAATTAAGCTGTAGTCTAATTCACAAATCATCTCTGTGAATTGGGTATAACAATAATAATATTCAGACTGACTTTCATCAATGCTTTTGCGCAGGCTATACAAGACAAATAATACCTTGATTGCAGCATACAGAATACGCCAGCAGACATTCACATCCTTCCAGTGACCAGTATGCAATTTTTCCCATGCATATTGTAACAAATAACTTGTGTCGACTTTGAGCTCTCCGGTGGAAATTTTAGCCATTTCATATTTCTGTAGTATCTTTTTGCAGTCTCTGAGCAAAATAGCACCAAAATCTGATTGATAAGATTGTAAGAGCTCATGAAACTGTTGAGTGGATGGTGCATTTTGATCCAAGTACTTTCTGATCATCCAGTTAAAAGAAAATAGAATGGGAAAAAGAGAGATTGAACTGAAAAAAGAAAGAAAAAAGAACTTAGTAGTATTTTGAAATTGCTCAAAAGAGCCACTATGGCTAAAGATATGTAGCATACATATGAGCTGTTCATATATTCATGTTTACTTCCACTCACATGGTGATTAGTAATGCAACCTAACCTGAACAGTCTCAAATCTCACAGTTAAGTCGATGGAAGGTTTACTCGGTAACTTGATCAGTGATGGTTCGAATCACATTTTTCGAAACTGATAACCATCCATGCATATTCGAATTTGTATAGTCTGGAATTCGGAGTTTATTATAACGAGATATCTCCAGCCAAGATATAGAAACCTTAGTTTATTCTACTACCTTCATAATTCCTTGTTTAGTCTCAGTGAATATCTTTGACAAGTACTAACGTAGATAGTTTGGATGTACTCCATAAGAACATCTTCCTGATAGTCATTAGCAAGATGAATTTACAACCACGAGACAATTTAAAGAACAAATAGTACAGGATCTCAAACAAAAATGCAGTGGTTCATACACTGATTGCCCCGCTTAACAACAATATGGAAAGTGAAGATGAACAAGCACATAATGATACGGGAATAAACAAGAAACACCAACAAAAGGCAAAAAAATAACGAAGATCAATAAAATATTTGAAACTTAGATGACATGGAGAGAATACATTCGCGTTAGTAATTAATTTTAACTATTTCATTCGGTGTCTGAAACCATTAACCTTTAACATTTGCAGGACCTCCTTGGATCCGATTGTCCTGCACTACTTCAAGTTCATAAAGGTCTTCAAAGATTCTGTAACATTCCTATTACAGGTATTAGTGTTCAGTTGAGATTGAGGGTGAATGTTGGGTTGCTAAAACAACTGAATTGCCATCAAAAATGGATTTTTATTCATTGGGTTAGTAGTTCGGATTCAAACCACTTCTTTGGCCATGAGAGGTTGGATGATATCACCGGTCACCTTGACTAACTGACAGAATCAACGTGGAACATCTCATACAGGTACATCGGTTCAAGTTGTCACACTTCACAGTAGTACAAAAAGAACAGATGGAAGGCAAAGGAGTGGTACCAAAATAGACAAAGTTGTGTGTGAATATTCAAGCTTTAGAAGATATCAAGGAGTGAATACATCTGCACCATTGTGACCAACTTTTAGCCATGTCACCAAGAGTCCTCAAAAGCTGATTCCTTTTGGCTAGGTGATTACAATCACACAGTCTACATCTCCCCCACACGACTCAGACCAACAGTAAGTGACTTCTTTGTCTGCTGCCACGTCTTGGTCTGGCCACCCTGAAACCTCCTCCAACCTAATCCAACTACTAAAAGCATGGCACGTCGATGTAGGTGGCGGCTTGCTCGGCATGCATAACACATGTACAGCCACCTTAGTGGATGAAGGTTCACGACCTCATCCACTGACTTGCCTGTCTTGTCTAGTGCCCTTCGCCTGACCTCGACATTGGTCACACGGTGATTTTATCGAACGCGAGCAATGCTACGAAGACATCTGTGATCAAAGACCATGTCCCACAGCTGTACAACAGGATACAATGGATTACATCAGAACACATGACGGGACTTTACAAACTCAAATGTGCAGGAAGACCACACACATTAAATGTTGGACTACAACAGTAATCAGTCTACAGTCCGCAAGAAATGTTAACAAACATTAATCTCAAGAGCTAAAACATATTGCAGCTCTGAAGCACAACGGAAACCTGTACAAAGTATTCATAGCCAATGACTACCCACCCAACTTTGTCAGCAGGAGAGAAGACAAGGCAACTACCCGAAATCAATAAGCACGTTACACTACCCTACATCAAAGATATCTCAGAAACAGTCTATCGATTGCTTCATCCTTTCAGAATCAGAGTAGCACACAAAGCAACGAAATTACTACACAGGATGTTGTGCAAACCAAAAGATCCATTGCCAGAAGAAGACACGACAAGTGTAATCCACAAAATCAATTGCAAAAGTCGTTCACAGCATCATGTTTGCCAGTCTAGCCGTCGGACTGCTCAAATAATTCATAAACACCAACTATCAGTAAAGCAACATGACGCGGCCTCTTTGATTTCAATTCATGTAGACAATCAAGACCACAATCCGACTGGGAGAATTTGGAAATCCTCCAAACAGAAGGTTCTAAAGCTGCAAGAGAATTTCTAGAAGCATGGCATTCAAACGAAATATTAATCAACAAACATGTAGATATAGACCAAACTTACAATATACTTGGGAAGAAAACAGTCATCCATCAACCACGGGTAAATTGACTGGGCGAATCAATAATGATGCACAGCGTGATAACAACAAACAGCACAATTTCATTTCAACAAAGAATATCTAATGACGTGACTGAAGTAAATTTAAGGTCAAACAGGTCAGGATGTGATAAAAAATTTCTTCCCCGACTTACAACTGGACAACATCCAAGGTCAATAAAAACACTATCTAAACATTCGTGTAATATTCGACTATGCTTTACTTCTTTATGAAGTTAGTGCTGAAGATGTCACTGAGCCTGGTGATGAAACGTTCACGACAGAATAACAAGGCTCAGAGAACACCAAACCACCATCATTAACTGATAAAGTAGATAGATCAGCCTAAGTGGTCATCAACTAGTAAATTTAGTTATTTCATAACACTTTTATGTCAGAGAATCCGCAAAAGGCTACGTATGACAGTTCTCAGCAGATGTCCCATGGGCTCTGTGGTCCCACAAATCTTCCCTTTTACGTATCTTAACAAGCAATAACCTTCCGTAGTGCGGGAAGCCGGGAAGTGTCAACAGCCTGCACGCTTCCAGCAGTACACAAGACCCAATCAAACAAAACCTTTCCTCCTCAACTTTGTCTCTTCCTTTGCCTTCACCTCGTGATACTAATATTAAGCCTCTTACACCTTTCCAACCTCTTATTCTACAACCATTGCCAACTATCCAAGCCATTGAAGCCTCATTCCTAGTCTTCAAAGACCCCGCCATCGATTTTATGTTGGAGCTTTTAACGTCTGAACTCTAAGCCAAGTCAGATAGTAGGTATCAATTGTCAGAATTGTGAAATCTCAAGCCATGGTTGTATGCTGTGTTTCTGAGACATGTGAGCAGGACCCCAGTGTGGTTATTAAATTGACCTCAGCGCACCACTGAAGTGAATCCTCAAAATTCACGTTACGAGCATTCGGAGACGCGAACACAAAGTAACTAAGTGCAACAATGAACCGAAGGGTTTACACAGACAGAATATCAAATTTACCATCGGATGGTAGCTAACTCCTTTATCTGACAGCGTGAAAAAAATACTGCACTATTCAAACGAAACTTCCAAGAAAATATGATACTGTATAGAACAGTGAAGATATTTGGGGATGCACCACATCAACAAATCTCACAGGTCCACAGGATGATGAACCGCACGAAGTCGATTTCCTTTTATGTAAAATTTCAAGTCTGTATATTTGCCATCAACCAATAGTAAAGTGGTCGCATAAGTGTAGAAAAGTACACCTAGTCAAGTTACCACATTACACAGCAAAACACAGTTGGTAGAAAAAAAGACAATTAAGTAAAGAGAAAGTAGTATGAAGATTGAGAGAAAAGGTCAGTAAGAAACTTAAAGACATCGAAGATGACAGAATCTATACACTTGTACGATTATCAACATTCATGAGTTACATAATTCAATTTCCAGCCATTGATTCCTGTTACCGAAAAACTACAGTCAATCCAGACGCCTCAGATTTGTAGTCAGAGATTTCATGAATTAGTGGCAAATTTTCGTAAGGAAAACCCTTATCTGCTTTTTTACCTAATCAGATTTAAGCTAACAGTGCGCTGAGATAGGTAATTGATCCATGAGCACGAAGAGTTTCCCATCAACTCAAAATACAAAGGATTCATTTACTTCCTGAAGTCGTTTTGTGTTGCATCAAAAGAATGACTGACTGATTACATTGGTCATATGCTATGCATAAGACAATTAGTCCAACAATGAGTTAAGAACAGGATGCTACCTTTGCTCACCTCAATGTATCTATTAGTTTACTTCTTCCTGTAAAGCAACATACATTGGCTGTACACTGTGTCGACTTCGCAAACGTATTTTCGAGTATTAAGCAGCTTAGCTCTTCAGAGGAAAGATGAAGAATATTAACAGTTCTACAAATAAACACATTTTTATCCTCGAATATCTGATCCCCGTTGCAATTTCTTTAATGTAACCTGCAGAGTGTTTCCCAAAAATTCCAAAGACCATCGACTACGCCAACTATACACAGCAGAATCAGTGGCAATTCATAAACTTAAACCTAATTTTAGCGTTAAGAATATTATTCCCATTCGTCAGCATCACCATATCAAGATAGCCAACTTTCTTCTTTACAGTTAATTTTTTCGATCCTCGCTAGAGAAACTAAAGAACGATATTGGTTACCCCTGGTTATGTTGTGTTCGCTGAGCTGGGTGGTTGCATCTTGAATCTTTCAATGTCTTTCTAGACATCATCAGCACTAACAGACATCTAAACCAATTTGGAATTTGACAACTTGAAAAAATTCGGGCATTGGGTAAATGGTATTCATTATTTTGGTATTTGTATTTCCCAATGAATATAAAACAAAATAAATTTGTTTCGAGTGACGTTTTGCTATTTTATGCTGATAGCTTTATCAAAGTTATAGTTTATAACGTCAGTTGAAACAAGTTTATTTCGCTTTACATTCATTGGGAAATACAAATACCGAAATAACATCATCAGCACTAATTTCAGCATGAAGTGAGCTGTCAATATCTCTCCGTCAGTAGTCAGATTAGTTTCCTTTGATTGTTGAGTCATTGATTGCATAGGTTTACCTGCTGTTTGTTTCTCTGCCTATCCTCTGATCTTTCTGTTGTTTATCACTTTTCTTATTGGTTGATAGATTGGGTCAATGTCTATACATT